AAGGTATTTGTGTGGATGATGCAAATTACATCGTGATTTGACTCGAAGTCATAAGATGTACGACGCTTATTATCTACACGTACTCGTTACAAATAGGGGGGTCCTTGTGAAGCAGCTGCCCGCGTTTCCAAAGCACGTATGGTGTTGGATTGTAAGGTGCCCAAGTACGTTTGCGAGGAAGAGAATGTGGCCAGGTTGGAGAGGAAAGTGCAGTGGCATATTGGAATGTGGGATTAGCGTAAGCGAGTTACAGGGCGTTTTATTGCACGGGCGAGTTTACGTGCAAATCTTTCACCGTAGCATCAGTCCTCAGTTCACTTCTTGGAACGAACATCAGCATAGGTGCAAGCCCTCTCGCTTGGGGGGATATGCAAACAAACATCCTGATAGGGGTAAACTCGCACGCTACCGAGCATTCAACCGAGCACATGCATGCTTAGTTGAATGGTGAGATGCGACCCCCCCTTCATTTCGTGCTCGGCAAGCCTGCCACCGCGTACCGGATATGTTGGCGATGTTACAGAACGCTGGACCTTGGTTTCTGTGCGCAATGCGTACGATGCTCGACCCCGCCGACCAAAACTACACGTGCCCAACTGAAGACATTCCCGGTGGTTGTGCAGCAGCTCTCGAGGCTGTTGCTGGCTGAAATCCATCCTGAGCTGTTGCAACACGGCTAACGCGGGCACGTCCCTATGCACAGCAAATAGCTGTTCCAAGCCAACAGCGGCGTCCATGTCACCGACAAGGCTCTAAACGTCTTATCTGTTCTTATGTTTAATGAAGTTTATGTATGTTATACTTTGCGCAACTTTGTAATTTGACTTTACTCTGAACAAGGTGCTGCATACAACTGCCTCTTCGCCAGCGCTTCATCTTCCGCGGCAGTTTCACGAGCCCAGAGTTGCAAGCTAGGACGTTGGCATTGGGTGCTTTCAGTTACTGCAAAGCATCCAGGCAATAGTCCAGCATGCATGCCGCGTGCGGCTATGGCCAACATGCCCACTTGCGCAACGCGCTGGCGCACGTGGTCCTCATCCGCCAAGAAAATTTATATACACTTGTACAGGCGCATTTTGTGAATCGCACGCGCGCATCTGCGCGGCAAAATTCGCTCCTGGCTTTTTTGGGACGATGTACGAACACTTTATTCGCGAAGTACGACCGGACACATTTGTGCGAGGGGCTGCTTAAAATAGGGGGGTCCTTGTGAAGCAGCTGCCCGCGTTTCCAAAGCCCGTATGGTGTTGGATTGTAAGGTGCCCAAGTACGTTTGCGAGGAAGAGAATGTGGCCAGGCTGGAGAGGAAAGTGCAGTGGCATATTGGAATGTGAGATTAGCGTAAGCGAGTTACAGGGCGATTTATTGCACGGGCGAATTTACGTGCAAATCTTTCACCGTAGCATCAGTCCTCAGTTCACTTCTTGGAACGAACATCAGCATAGGTCCAAGCCCTCTCGCTTGGAGGGATATGCAAACAAGCATCCTAATAGGGGTAAACTCGCACGCTACCGAGCATTCAACCGAGCACATGCATGCTTAGTTGAATGGTGAGATGCGACCCCCCCTTCATTTCGAGTTCGGCAAGCCTGCCACCGCGTACCGGATATGTTGGCGATGTTACAGAACGCTGCACCTTGGTTTCTGTGCGCATTGCGTACGTTGCTCGACCCCGCCGACCAAAACTACACGTGCTCAACTGAAGACATTCCCGGTGGTTGTGCAGCAGCTCTTGAGGCTGTTGCTGGCTGAAATCCATCCTGAGACTGTTGCAACACGGCTAACGCGGGCACGTCCCTATGCACAGCAAATAGCTGTTCCAAGCCAACAGCGGCGTCCATGTCACCGACAAGGCTCTAAACGTCTTATCTGTTCTTATGTTTAATGAAGTTTATGTATGTTATACTTTGCGCAACTTTGTAATTTGACTTTACTCTGAACAAGGTGCTGCATACAATTGCCTCTTCGCCAGCGCTTCATCTTCCGCGGCAGTTTCACGAGCCCAGAGTTGCAAGCTACGACGTTGGCTTTCGGTGCTTTTAGTTACTGCAAAGCAGCCACGCAATAGTCCAGCATGCATGCCGCGTGCGGCTTTGGCCAACATGCCCACCTGCGCAACGCGCTGGCGCGCCTGGTCCTTTCCGCCAAGAAAAAATATATACACTTGTACAGGCGCATTTTGTGAATCCCACGCGCGCATCCGCGCGGTGAATTTCGCTCCTGGCTTTTTTGGACGATGTACGAACGGTTTATTCGCGAAGTACGACCGGACACATGGGGGGGGTCCTTGTGAAGCAGCTGCCCGCGTTTCCAAAGCCCGTATGGTGTTGGATTGTAAGGTGCCCAAGTACGTTTGCGAGGAAGAGAATGTGGCCAGGCTGGAGAAGAAAGTGCAGTGGCATATTGGAATGTGAGATTAGCGTAAGCGAGTTACAGGGCGTTTGGCGCACGGGCGAATTTACGTGCATACCTTTCACCGTAGCATCAGTCCTCAGTTCACTTCTTGGAACGAACATCAGCATAGGTCCAAGCCCTCTCGCTTGGACCAAGCCCTCTCGCTTGGAGGGATATGCAAACAAACATCCTGATAGGGGTAAACTCGCACGCTACCGAGCATTCAACCGAGCACATGCATGCTTAGTTGAGTGGTGAGATGCGAACCCCCCTTCATTTCGTGCTCGGCAAGCCTGGCA